TGCGCGTTTTGCACTGCGTATTTAATAACTTCACCTCACACGTCTCATAACTAATGTATAATTTAAGTGGTACAAGAATGGCGGGAGGGAGATATGTCGATAAAACGTGGTATAACTAAGAAGGTTGTTTCCTAAGTTTGCTAAAGACGAGGACTTGACCACTCCATTAAAACTATAGGGCTTATTTGCAATCTAGGGACATGTCACGTAACTTAGCCACTGACACGAGTGACATCTAGCATCTCAAATACTTGTAATCAATAGAAGTCGAAGTCAATAAGTCGAGAAAGTTTCTGAAATAACGTCTTTCGTTTGAAGACTTGGACCACCAATTAACTTTGATGTAACTTGAGTTTGAGCGCAAGTACTAGGTTGGAAGAAAGTTTTGGGGACTTTAATAAGCATGTGATAACTCCTATGCATATCTCGGGATTATTACAGATTCATATGTGAATTCTCCCACTGAGACCTATATATTATTCGTCTCTAAATTTACTTTGTTACAAGCCTCTACAACAAGCCTGTTACAAGCCTCTACAACAAGCTTAAGGAGAAGTACCCCGGCTTTGGTGAACGGAAAGCGGGTTCTGCTTCAGCAAGAAAATGTCAGACCGCACACTGGCAAAAAGACCTAAGACAAGTTTGATGGATTGGACGGAGTTGAGGCTTTGCAGCATCCCGCCTACACCTCAGATTGCGCTCCATCCGACTTTGGCTTATTCCCCATCAATGCAACACTTTTTGAACGCAATATGTGGAGTACTGTGCAAAAACGTTTGCGTCAGCCGGGATTCGAACCCAGATCTCACTCTTTCCGGGAACGTATGCTAACCGTTGCACTAACCGGCTGACGCACCAGAGATGGCGTCGGTAGGCAACTGTTAGCAAACGCTCCTGGAAAGAGTGAGATCCGGGTTGGAATCTCGGCTGACGCAAACGTTTTTGCATAGTACTCCACATATTGGGTATACTATAAGATCATATCACTGCAAGTGGCAGTCTCCGATTTGGAATGTTTGATGAAATTGAAGAAAAATGTCAAGAGTTTTCTGATTCAAAGTCGAAAGAATGGCCGCAATCGACCAGATCTGAACTTTGGTGGATGCGATGGCAGAAAGTCGCAGAAAACGATGGCCTTTATTTTAAAGAATAGTTTTTATTGTTTTTGTTTGGAATTTATGCATAAATTTTCAATTCTTTTACAAGGGCCACAGAATTTTCTTTCCAACCTAGTAAAAAATGAGTTGAGAAGGAAAAAAAGGAATTGGATCGAAATGGACAGCTCATCGCTTTTCTTAAAGAAGACCTTGGTATTTCGGTATAGTTACTTTATGTAAATAAGCTACGGTCCCAGTTCCGTAAAACACAACCACGAAGACGGTGAGATACACGCAAAACTCGGAGCTTCAGTCGGGCTTCAAAGTCGCGACTCCGGCAACTCGTTCGCTCAGCCATGGCTTTGTTCTACCGGTGCTATGAATATTAACCCGTCAACAAGATTGAGCGCGGCAAAAGGCTGCCTGAGATTTCAAAATTTGCTTGATTGCATTTGAAAAATCGGCTATCCGAGTGATAAGATACTCAGCAAAAATGATCGATCGGCGTTTAAAATTATATCGCCACGAAACAATATCTATTCATTGTGCCTGTAGCTGCTTTTCCTCTCAGCCTTGTTTTTTTTTTTCTGAGACATTTAGATATATTAACAGCGTATATTCACCACAACGTTGAATCGTTGCACTATGCCAGTATTCGACAAAAAAATCCTTCGCACAAAACATCGGTTTACGATTCGCTAGAAATAAATGAATATCATTTATGGATGGGAAACTTCACATTGATTGTAAATTCTGTGAAAATGGTAAAAGAAAAAATGTGGACTCAATCGATAAGAGTTCCAAAATCAGCCATTCAACTCGATTTGAGCCGAAGTGTGTAAAGTTGATGTGTATCTAAACGTATCAAGTTGTGTGCAAAGCATTCGGCATCAAGTACTTGAACCGTCATTTCACCCAAACCAAGGGCCCATGCTACCACTATGTCGCCGATGTCACCACTCTGCTACCACTCTTCGGTATATCATGTGGAGTAATGGTAGCAAATGCCCGCTGTATAGGTGAAACGCGGGTCCAAATTCCATCTGATGTCGATTATTTCGCACACCACTTAATACTCTTAGATGTATATTTATAACATCACACCACTGTTAGCCCATTAAGAACGGCCGTTGATAGTAGACTGCTTTGTGCTGATCGTTTGCGCGGCAGTCGACGTGATCGACCTTGAGAATCAAGCACGTGGCTTCAAATTTTTCGTCACTGAAAGGGACTTGGTTATCAGTGAAAGAGAGAGTATGAATGAGGAGATTTCAATAGGGCCATTTTTGGCTGCATCTTGGCAAAACGATTCTGAAACATGCCTTATTTGTCAAAAAAATGTTACAGATTGCATTGTGGTGCCACTTCATGGACTATCTAACAAAAGTTCTCCGATTATTAGCATACTTTGAGAGCTAAGACTTCCACAAAGCTGTCGAAGAGACTTTGTTATATTGTCTTATGAGTAAGAGCTTTTTGTATATCCACTTATGTTCCGATATAAACTTTATTCGTCATTTCATTTTTTTTTTGAAGAAGTACTCAAATAGATGAATGCAAACTCTATTTAGGCTTACTCCTGCCACATACTAAAAAGTCGGCCTATTTAAGTTTTTCGTGGATGTCTTCAATTTTGGTCTCCAAAATATTCTTACACGATATCGCCGAAAAAAGTATGGGAAACGCTCAAAATGCTTCCTTTCCTCACTATGTAGCTCCCTCATTGAGAAATAAGGATTTCTAGAACAAGTGACGTTATTTTCACTAAAATATGTTTGTAGAAATCTTTTCAATAATAATCTTCTTTTAACGACAAAGTCTGCTTAGAATAAAAATTTTCCTGTATAATACCAAAAATCCGCGCTGAGGCAATAAAGCTCACCCGAACGCAAAACGTAATCTTCTTTTCATGAGTAGAAAGCAAAATGAAGAACTTTTTACAAACTACGTTTAGTATCAAAACCTGAATTTCTCAAGCTATCGAACGATATTTAACACTATTATGAAAAGCTCTTGTCTAGCGAAAGGGGTCGTTTCTTCAATTGTCTCCGTCTAACAGAAAAAACCAACAAATGATATATAGAATTCTTCTTATTTAACCTCTTCGAGCGGTGGCATGATGTTGTAGATATGCTCACTGATGCAGAGTGATGTGCGAAAGATTTGTATCAGGCGAGACTCGAACCAATTTCTCACTCTATTTGGATGCGCGTGCTCTGAGCCGTTGCACTACTGACGCCTGTTTTGCCACCACTCTTTCTAGGCTGCAACGCGTCTATCTGTCAACAGCCAACTGTCAACGGTCTGACCTAGTTAGTCGGTATCGACACTGAAGTCAGCACTGAAATGTTATATACCAGCTGGAAATATGCTCTCTTTCACAGCGATGTAATTTTCTCGTTGAAATATAGGGAATTTTCCGACATATAGACCTTTTTTTTCACTCAAATAGTCATTATAGAAGCATTTTGAATTACATTCCCACATTTACACTTAATATTGTTCCCTCAGAACTTCAATTTACCTATTAGAGCCTTCTATTTCCACTGCCGTGTGCGCCGATACGAATTTGCGATGCAACGAAAAGACGCCAGTTACAGCAGCTGGGTGAAAAGCAACAAATCATGCGGTTTTACGTTTCCATCTCGTCCTCAAAGTATTGAAAACAGTGGAGGCAAATAACTCGATTTGAACCATACATTTTGAATATTTGTCAGTATGAGTGGGGTTAATACAGGTATGTGCTTATCCAAGCCATTCCGGTAAAGCTTGATTGCGGACAGCTACGATAAGCTATTTTGAAGAAAAGAGGTAGCAGAGCAGTGGCAACGGTGGTGCAGGGGTAGCGTGCGCCCTGATATGGGGAACCTGAGTTCAACTCCGCTTGATTTAAGCTACTTATTACTATCAGATACATATTTAGGACATTATACCACTCCCAAATAGCAATATAAATAACGAATCCATTTAGATAATGAACATTAGCATCACATCCGATTTGTTAATGTATTCTAAATCAGAAGATAGTTAACGCCACAACACGCTAAATCAACAAATTTAAGTGATTGTCCATTGAAGAAAATTTGACTCAACATGACCACGAAGAATCATAGCGAGGGGGAATGACTATGAGCCATAAACCATGACTAATCAGCTTTGATAAAGACGAGGACGTTAGGCGAATAAAATATTTTGCTAACCTCTTGTAAGCTGAGAAATCTTCAGAAAAGTGGTTCGTTCCGGTTATAAGGAGACAAATAAATATTCAACGTCATTTCGTGTACAGGAACTTTTCATAGGAGTGTGAGTAATCACTCGAAAGCCAAGATTTCCAACTAGAGCACTATGTGGCTGATTTTCGAAAAGACTCTTCTATGACGCTTTAAAGTAACTATGCCTCAGATAAGCATATTTCTCTACGGACAGAGCTTTTTCTTCGGACTATCAATAATGATTCGATAACGTAATGTTGGCTGATTCCAACGCTGTGCCTATTTTCTGGAAAGACCGTTTCTCTGCAACACAGGGGAAAATAAAATTGATGCGCATGAGAAAGTTGGCCTTTCGCCAATTCACCGGACTTTGGGTGAAGCAGCAATGAGGGTTGCGCAATAGGCGATCGACTTCGACTAATCTCATGTTAGTGCAAATCTTTGTTAATTATTAAAAGTAGTTTTCAGCGTGAAAATAAAAACTTCAGACAAAATGTATGACTATGCTACAAAAAGACTCCAAGTACTAATTTTTGAGAATGTTCAAAACCTTACTCGAAGTTGGTACGCCAGGGTCATACACGCGTGTTTGGAGGGCTCGCCTTCCTCGTCAGTGACCCATGCCCCACATTAAACCCTGTATTATAGCAAGGAGGGAGGCGCATGTGGTGACGGCACAGTGTACAATGACACTGTGCTATCACCACTTCTCAGTCGATGGATCTCGGCTGGTAGAACAAAATTGATCCATGGCATCGACTGTTCGGGTGATGGCACAGTGTCACTGTACATTGTGCCATCACCGCATGCGCCTCCCTCCTTGCTATAATACAGGGTTTGATGTGGGGCATGGGTCACTGACGAGGAGGGCGAGACCTCCGCAACACGGGTGTATGATCCTGGCGTACCAACCTCGGGTAAAACTTTAAACAATCTTAACAATTAGATTAAATTTTTATTGCGAGGGTTCAGAAACAGTCGATGCTGTGGATCACTTTGAGTACTATTATTTTGCTATGAATACGGATAAATCAATCATAATTATGACAACTTTGGTGAATTTCAGGAGGCCAGGAGGCCAGAACGTCCTAATTGCTTACAACAGTGGTTCGGAAACATTTAGATACTACGGGATTTTTTCTACACGTTCATATGCTCGAAAACCGATCGATAATTGCATCATCCGATCTTGCTGCCTCACCCAGCGGCACGTGAGTTGGCCAAAAACCACCTTGCTCGCGCATGTAATTCAATCTCAATTTTCCTGCTGCGCTGCGAGAAACGGCCTTATCAGGATGTAAGTGCAGCGTTAGAATCAGCAACGATTATGCTATTGATTGATTATTAATAGTCCAAACAAAGGGCTCTGTCCGACGAGAAAGAAGCTGGCTTAAAACACAAGGGATTTCCTCCCGTGATGGCGTCAAAAAAGGCCTTTTTAAAAAACCGGCCACGTAGGGCTGTATTCAGAAATCTGAGTTTCGAATAATCACTAACATTCCTATAAAAATTTTCTGGTCGGATATTTATTTGCCCCCTTATAAT